CAGGACAAGGCGAAGTACCTCGGCATTGTGGTCGGCCCTGGCCGCGGTACTAGCATCGACGACAGGGCCGCGCGCTTGGGGCAACTGTGCGTTGGCCTTCTTCACGCCTTCTTGGCCGACCAGGTTTTCGTGAGCTCAGTGGTCATGTTCTTCGCGCAGCTCGACCCGCTGCCGCGCTTCTTTGACGCGATCGGGCTGAAAGCATGCCGCGCGCTGCTCCGTGGCCCCAAGGGTTGGTTCTCCGTGGATGCTTTGAAAGATGATAATTTTGAGTTTCCCGACGGGCTTCCCCCGTCCATTCCGCCGCCCGTGCGGCGAGGGCCAGGGCTGCCAGGTTCGCGAACGCCGCGCACGGCGGTCTCGGGGTACAAGCCTGGGCTCGCCAGCTACACCGACTGAGCCGCGACGCCGGGAATCAGACCCGGGTGGGGCATTTTTCGGCAGTGCATCGACCAGAACTTCTTGTTCTCGCTCCGCGACGCCACCGCTGACTTGACAGCAGCCGAGCGGCAAGTGCGCGCGGTGCCTTCTCTCCTCGACCCTGCAAGCCCCGCCGCTCAGGAACGGAGCGGGTGGCAAGCGCAGACCGCGCGTCCTTTTTACGCTGTTTCCCCACCCTCTGCTGCACGGCGAATTAGGAAACGATTGGACACATGGCAGCTCAACGTTCTGCCTGGCCACCGCCCAGTCAGGTGGCTCAACACTCTTGCCCTCGCCTCCCCTTTATCCCCCCCGTGTCCAAGCGTGTCAAATCCCCACTGTTTGGGATGGTTGGGCCACCGCCCGCCGCTTCGGCAGGGCAGGGGGTCGTCTCTTCAACTGCCCGCGCGGAGAGGACAGTGTACATCATTACGCTTTATGTCCTACATTTCATACCCCGTGCCGCCAGTGTCACGGACTCCGCTGGCCGCCAGCGGAGGGGTGTCTCAGCGACTTCGCGTGGATTCGCCCCCACGATCACACTCTCCCCGCGCACTGCCCGGACGGCGATGCCAGGGCCACGGCGGCGGCGCTCAGGGCGATCGGGGTATTCGCTTTGTATAAAACGCACAACGCTGTCCGACACGACTTCCGGGCCGCCGACGGGGCCGACGCGTTCCGCGGGTACGTCCGAGACGCGGTCTCTGGACACCCCCGCGCACAGCATCTCGTCGGGATCGTGTTCAAGAGGCCCCGTCAGGAAGGCCAGTAGATTTCACCTCGCTTCTTCCGTCTGTTTCTGTTTTCCCCTGCCTCCCTTTTCTGTCTTCCTTTCTCTCAATTTGCTCCGCTCTGTCGTAGTTTGGCGCGCCGCTCGCTTCATATTACGAGTTGTCTCCGATGTCGCGGGTAGCCCAGCCCGCCTCTCTATGATACGAATCCGGGGAATGTTGTATCATTGTTGTCCACTACCGCCTGCCTCTCTTTCTCTCTCTCTCTCTCTCTCGCTCTCTTTCTCGCTTTTGCACTGCAGCGGCTATGTGGGCGCCCAGACTGCCGAGCAGTCGGGCGAGGACCTCTGCGGCTTACTCGCCAGCTCCACTGCCCACTGTTCCAGTCCCAGCGCGATGGCACGCCTATTGCAGGTTGGCTTGGACGCTGCTCCTGGTTTCTGACTGGTCTCTCTCGCCCCGTTCCTCCTTTCCTCTTCCTCCACCTCCTCCCGTTTGAAAGCCTCTTCCCAGCTTTGTCCGCGGATGCTTCCCGGCATTGTCCAAGCTTTTTTTTTGGCAGCAGCAGTCACTCACTGTCACGTGTGTCGCGCGAGTCTGTGCTGTATTTCACAAGGTTTTTTTGCGTCGCCGGACCTCCGCGGCTCTACTGGTCGCCTTCCGGCGGTGCATTTGTTCAGCGCATCGACAGGCTGGTGCGGCTACGATCTGCCATACATGTTCCCGGCACTGTCTGGCCTTCTGTGCTGCGTTGTTCGCAGGCAAAAATATTCCAGCCGCGCCAGGTGCGCCACGTTCGGGCACGTGTCGGGAGCGGAAAAGAGGGGGGTGATGACTAGGGGGGGGTGGATTTCATGGCGCGGGCCATGATTTTTCCGCAGATTTCATGGCGCTTCTTCTTATTCTATTACGTCCCAGGCCCCCCCGCTGGGCCGCGCACATGCCGCCGGTCATGATTTGCACCCCCCCCTCTTGGACACCCCCCTCTTGGCCGCTCCCGAACGTGCACAGCGCGTCAGTTACAACACACATCGGGAAACGTGTCGGCCCCCGCCACCTTTGTTGAAAGCCAATGCCCATCATTGTGCTTGGTGGGCCTGCGCACAGCAGGCCACGTGCCACAACCCCCGCCGTCCCCTTTCAAACACCACTTGACGATGATCGCGGGGTGGCCGCGCACGATCCAGATTCAGCCGCGAGGTGCATGCTGTGTCGTAAATTGTCGGGGATGGTAGCCCTGCGCGCAGCAGGCAAGATGCTGACGCCCCCGCCGCCCCTGTCGAAATCGATAACCAAAAAGCTCGCGGGCTTCACGAACACGGCTCGAGATTTTGCCCCAGAGTGTACTCTGCATAATTTTTGACAGGGATGGTTGGGGGGGGGGCCGCATCGGGTTGGCCGCGCATGCTCCAAATGTGAAGGCCGAGTGCGGTTTGCATTGTTTTTTGATAGGGATGGTGGGGGGCCGGCCCGCATGGAGTCGGCATAGTTCCGGGTTGGCTGTTGGCCAGGTGGGGAAGGGGGTGTATCCTAATAAGGAACAGTGATCAAGACTTCCTCCTAGATAGCAAGCCGTTTAGCTCACTCCCACCCGTCTTCCCACCATATAAAAAAACACCCGAGCCTCTGCATGTTCAGCGGTCGTCTTTGGATGGACAGCTATTGAGACCCAAACCGAGCCCATTTGCGCGACGCAGGGGCGAGGTGCGCCACGCGTGCCAGGCGCGCCACGCGCGCCAGGCACCTCTGGGGCCCGAGCGTGCCAGGCACGCCTGGTGCGCCAGATGCGCCACGTGCCTACGCGTGTGCCAATTGTGCCGCGCATTCCAGCCGCGCCAGGTGCGCCACGTTCGGGGCACGTGCAGAAAGCATCACTTGCGCCTGCGCACGTGACAGCAAACATCGGGAAACATGTCGGCACTCACCATCCATGTCGAAGACTAGTGTCCATCATTGAATCTGGTGGGCCTGCGCACAGCAGGCCATACGCCACCACTTGATAGTGATCGCGGGGTGGCCGCGAATGATCCAGATTCAGCCGCGAGGTGCATTGTGTATTGCTCTTTTGCGTCAGGGATGGTCGCCCTGCGCGCAGCAGGCAAGATGCTGACACCCCCGCCGTCCCTATCCCCCCCCCAAAAAATACAACATGCTCGTAGGCCTCACGAGCATGACTCTGGACTTTGCCGCCGAGCGTACTTTGTATCGTTTTTGTTGACAGGGATGGTGGGGGCGTGGCCCTCATGGGGTTACCATTGTTCCTGGTTGGCTTCTGGTCGCCTGGGGGAGGGGGTGTTTATTTTAAGGGAACAGTGATAGACCCCACCCCCGAGCATGGAAAGGAGGGGATGTGGAAGGAGGAAGAAAAAACTCGCTAAACCACCTGAGTCCAGAGGGCTGGTGGGATTTACATATGACGCTGCCCACCCGTTCATTTCGCATACGAAATCATACAATCCCAGGCGATCGGGCACCGCCCCCACCCCAGTTTTTGGCAAATCGTACAGTGCGCGCGGTCGTTTGTCTAATCTAGTGATGTTGTAAGCATCCCTGGCACCAGCAAAACACCACGCCTATTCACGGGAACACATGTCGAAAGTGTGCCGGACAAGCTCGGTCTGCAAGAATTTCTACAATCATAAAATACATCGAAGGTTTTCTCCGTCAGGAACCTGGTGGGAGTTCTGCCAACGCGGACTTGCTGAAATCATGGGGCAGCCATTCAGTTATAGCAGTCTCGCCCGAAGCCCGCCTTAACATCTCACCACGCGGTGTATCTGCGTTGATTTGTTTTGCTCCCATCGCACGGACCCGTATCATACAACACAATGCGGGCCACACGCGCGCGCCGCCACGCGAGCATGTCGAAGTTCGTCTAAACCTTTCGGGTGTTGAAGCATTCCAAGATAACGCCCTTCAAATACACTAGAAGGAACGACGTGTTTCCAACAACAAGTATGTCAACCCTCTTGATTTGTTGCGCGCGCACTTCTCACCTCACGTTCATCAGTGCCATCGCATCACCACCGTTATCATCATCGCCAGTCGCAGCCATTGTCGCCACCATTCGTCAGTCATCATCATCACCGACACATCGACATCGTTATCGCTATCGTCGCCACCACTATGGGCATCGCCATTGGCGTTGCCGTCGTCGTCGCTATCATCGTCACCACAATCGCCACTATCATCATCGCTGCCCCCTTTGTCGAGTTCATTATGATATCGCGCCCGCCCCGGCCACCGACCCGCACTGAAGTGTCCACGTGCCAGCGCGGCCTTTGAGACATGCTGGAGAGTTCCCCTCGGTTAGCGCCATCGCGGTCGCGCGAGTTGTTCCACACCAGTTGGCCGCTCTGACTTCGAGCTCGTGCGCGCCAGCGAGGCCGCAGAGATGCGTCAGCAAGCGCCAAGTTGCCATCGCTGCCGCGGCTGGATGGTTTGTGTTACATGTTGCGGGTGGGAGGGTGGGATGTTTGTGCGAGCACTGGGGCTGACATCTCACCAATGGCGCTCACGAGTTGTACCTCACCGGTTGCGCCACCATGCTTGCTCATTGTGGGGTGCACCCGATATGTTGCGCCAAGCCGATTGCACCACCGTGGTTGGAAAACATGGGATTCACGTCCAGAGTGGCATGGTGCTGTTCGGGGTGCACGCGTGGAAACATCTAATTGGTCCTATATGCTCCCTCATTCCCTCCTCTTCGCTTTTTTTTTCTCTCGCCTGTCTCTCTCTCTCATCCCTCCTTTTCTCCTTGCTCCCTCCTTCCCCGCATCCTCCCTTCCTCCTGGCCCCCTTCCTCCCCGCCTCCCTCTCTCACCCCGCCTTCTTTGTCCACCTGCCGAGGCCGCGTTCTCGGAGCCCCTGCCGCTCGGCGCCATGGTGAGGCTCTCCTTCGTGGTGGGGGGCGGGAAGCTCGTGCGCCAAAAGTACACCGACGAGCTCCCGAAGCTCTTCATGGGGGCACTGAGCGCCGTTGGCTACACGGAAGGGGGGGGACGAGCAGGAGGGGGCGGAGGAGGAGGTGGAGGGGGAGGGGCAGGACAGGATGGGGGGCGAGGGACGATGCCAGCAGAAAACAGAGGCGTGGGTGAGGAGAACGGGGGCGGAGGAGGACGTGAAGGCGGAGGCGGACAAGGACGTCCAGCGCTGCCCTTCGCAACTTGCGCTCGGGCAGGCTGAAGGGTTCCTCTGCTTCGTCTGCAAAACTAGTGGACGAGGAGTGTACGTGTTGATTCGCTTCTTGCAGTCTGCCGGAGGGCTCCTGCGAGGGTCGATGGACCCGAGGCGGCACGTCCGCGAAAGAGAAATGACGAGGGGGAGGGGGGCAGGAGGAGGGCAAGAAGGAGGGTGACGGTGGGTAGGCGGAGGACGGAGGGGAGGCAGAATAGTGGATTATGACGGGGGAGGAAGGGAAGGATATGTGGGGTGGTTGTGGTGAGGAGCGATATGAGAGGCAGGATTTGGATGATGACGGGCATTCGCATCAGACGACAGCATGAAAACGTGGAGAAACTTCAGCGCTCAGGGAAAATAGGGTGAGTTGGCGGAGCAGACATCGTAGGGACGACATAGAGGACGAGTGGCAGGAGGAGGATATGGCGAGGGCGACGCGAGGGAAGATAATGCCCGCAAGGAGGAGCATGGAGGAGGAGTATGGAGAAGCATGGGGGGAATGAAGAGAGCATGTAAGAATGAAGGGAGGAGATGAGGAGGGGAAGGAGGGATGGACGGACGACGGAGGGAAGGGAGGACAGCGACGGAGAGGGGGAGGAGGTTGTAGAGGACATTGGGATGGGAGGATGGGGAGGGTTTTTTGATTGGGAAAGGGGGAATCTTGGGGGGGAGTGGACGGAAGGGGGGGGACATCTTAGGGGGTAAGGATGAGGAGGGGAGAATGATGGTAGGTGAGAGGATGTGGATAAAACAAGGAAAATGATGAGGACGCTGACATCGAGGACCAGGATGGGAGAGGGGAAATAAGGGGATGATGGTAATAGGAGGGGGGGGAGGAAGAAGACGAGCCACAACTGTGCAGCAGATGGAGGATGGTGACCATAAGTGTGATGTGGCAGAGAGGGCAGAGGAGAAGCATGCGAGAAACTCAGCAAGTGGATGCGGGTATCATTTGTAGAGTCGGGCCATGAGAAAAGAGTGCTGATGAAGAGGAGGTGGATGATAACTGATTATTGTGGAGACGGTACGGATGAGGAGAAAGATGAGGAGGAGGAGGTCGTGATCATGGTTTCATGACGATGAAACGGATGAGGAGCATGCGGGTGAAGGTGAGGACCAACATTGATGAGAAGGACAAGGCACACGAGGAGGGAGCTTGAGAGATCAGGTGCAAGTTTGAGGTGAAAGGAGGGGAGGAGGTGGACAGAGATAATGGGATGGGATGGAGTAGGAGGGAAATGGGTAGAAGGACGAGGGCGACGACTAAGGCGTACCATGTGGAATCAGGAGAGGGGGAGGGTCAGGATCACGACGAGGTGGGCCGCGGAGGATATGGGGGAGTTCGGGCTACGAGGAAGAAATTCAGGAGGCGGAGGGAAGGACGACAGCTCCGCGTCCGTGGAGTCGAGTTCCGGAGGCAAGTACAAGTTCCAGCACGACACTGGGAAAAACTTGAAATTCGTCCACGTGTTCCCGTTGATCAGTGGCAGTTCCCAGGACGCCGTCGCCGCCGGAGATGGGAGGAGCCGGAGGAATCGGAGGAGTAGAAATACAATAAAAAGGAGTACAAGATATGGTTGACAGCGTGGCCCTGACCCCCCGCACTCTGGACTATCGCGCTCTCTAATGTGCGCTCCACGTGGCGCGACCCATGTCGCATTCATATGGTGCAAGGTATGTTGTGCAGGCTGGGTGGTGCAATCTAGGCGGTTCAAGCTGTGGCAGTGAGATCTCTCTCTATATACAGATCTATATATGAGGCAATAGAGTTTGGCAGCATGCACGCGTGAGGATCATCCGCAGCTTGTGCAAATTCCCATTCGCCTACCCGCATCTTGTTGGCAAGACTCAACTGGGCGGCGACAGTGACGATGACGAGGACGATGACGATCATGATGGTGATGTCCCTGACGACGGTGGGAGCGATGATGACGACGACGATAATGGTAATGAAGGTGATGGTGATGATAATGGCGGCGCCAATGAGAAGGCTGGCGGTGATGATGACGATGGTGCCAGCAAGGATGATGAGGACGTGCGAGTGAAACACATGACGAGGACGGCGACATTCACGATGGCAATTTTGACGGAGGTGGTGTCCATGACAACGGCGATGGTGGTGATGATGGTATTTACGATTCTGCGGGTGATTGTTACGACGACGGATGCGCTCGCAAAATTTCCAAATGTTGACAAGTAAGTTGTTCGACTGTGGGTGTGTAAGCTATGTGGTGCATGCTTCTGGGAAGTAGGCCATTCGGCGCAAGCTGTGCCTTGCAATGCACGTGGTGTAACTTGTAGGGTCCAGATATTCGGTGCAATGGCCCTGCGTGCTGGAGAATGTGTTCTTGAGTGTTTCCGTTCCGCTGCTTTTTTGGGCTCGAACCCAAAAGCTTGAAGACGGTTGTGATGGCCGGCCCCGCCCAGCTTGTGTCGGCTAGCGCGCTGGGCAGTTGGCTGGGAGGGATCACGTGGCCGTGTCTGTGCGAGTGCGGTTGCCACTTCACCTCCGACAACGCGCCTTTGAAGCTGCTCGAGAAGCAGCTCGACCGCTGTGGGCCAGCACGCCTCTGCCCGGTGTGCCCCGCGACGCCCACTTGCCCGCCGCTCTGGCCAGTGGGCCTGGGCGGCTTCGCGGCCGGCGCGGCCGCCACCGCGCTCCTGGGGCTCTGCGCCCGGAGCTGCCAGTCGCGCCCGTCGAGGAGCCCAGCCTCACGGGACGTGGCGCCGCGGCCGGCGCTGCCGCTCGTGGACGAGCCCGCCAGCCTGCCGCCGCCCAGCGGCCCGCCAGTGCAGCCAGGCCGCCGTGCGCGCGGCGTGCGCGGGGCAGAGGTGCTGACGGTGGGCTGAGTCCCGTGCCTGCGCGGGCGGCGCCATGGCCTCGCTCGCGCCTGGGTCCAGCGCCTTCGTCAGGTACGATGAGGACCTCTGGCACGAGCGCCTCATAATGGGGTGGGTCGACGGCGCCGAGTACGTAGTGCTCACCGCCGACGGGGACGTCTTCATAGAACAGCTCGACTCCGCCAACGCCGACCTCTCGGGCATCAGGTTCGCGCCGACCCCGGGAGGAGTGCCGAACGGGCTGGCCGGCGCGCAGCTCTACCGCTTCAAGGGGCCCCCAGCATGGGCGAAACGCTTTTGGCATTGATGTCGCGGAGCCCAGGTGAATTTCATGTCCTCGCACGAGCGCTGGCTGGTGGAGAGTCGTGTGCCAGCCAGCGGCCGTTCGGGGCACGAGCACCGCGCAGTGTCGAAGTGTCTCGAGCTGGCGGTCTCGGTTGACTGGCTGAACCTGGCAGACCTCGCTAGCATGGTGTATCTCAACCGTCGCCGTCAGCTGCTCGAGGAGGCTCACAAGACCGACCCCGACAAGCCGAACTTCGAGGGCGCCCGCCACTTCCGGGGCGAGGACGACACTGGCACGGGCACGATGGTTGCCCCGAGCTTGCGGACGCACGTGGCGGGAGAGTTCGCCCGGGATGCGGCCATCGAGAAGGAGAGACGCAAACAAGAGAAACCAAGAAGCCATCCGAAGGGGGCGGCAAGAAATCATCACCGACTTGAACCACTGCGGCGCCTCGGCTGGCGGTGCCGCTGCGGCTTGGCAAGACCGGCATGTTTCGGAGGAGGGGGCTGCCCCGCCGCGGGCTTGGCCAGACGCCCTGCCGCCTGGCTTCGGGTCACCGCTCGGTCTCGAGAGACCGGCTGGGTGCCCGAACGACCTCTTCCCCCTCCCTCTGCTCGACTGGCAGGAGGCCGGTTTTGGCGGCTCTGGCCGCGCCCGCTCTGGGCAGAAGAGGACATGCATTCGTCGGGGCGTATTGCGCGACGTGAACGACTCGCTGACGGGCCGCAATGCTCTGCGCGGCTGCGAGCGCTCGGCAGTTAGTGTGCCCGCCGAGGCGCAGAGGCTTGCACAGCGGAGGTTGCTCCGCACGGCTCGCTCTGCCCGACATGTTTGTTCCTGACTTATTTAGGATGAGTCCCCGTGAAGCTGCCAGTGAGCTTCTAGGGCTGCGACCACGATAGTTCCGCATCGTGCCGAAGCCCTCTCTTTACCCCCCGCATGACGACAGCCCGTCAGCCTTCAGGGCGTCCTCGACCTTGATGCAGCGCACGCTCTTGTTCATTTTGACAGCCTCTTAGCCGAGCCCGAAGTTCGTCAGGCTCGACGCGAGGGGGATCCGATCCGACCCTGCATGGACGTTGCGTCGAAGAATGATCGATCCCAGTATGTGCAGTTTTTGGGGCAGCTCGCGAGCTGCAGTGTCCTCGCCGCCACTGCGGCAAAGGGAAGCTTCTTTCACCCCGTTTTTCGTTTCCAAGAAGACTGATAAGATTAGGCTCGTGTTAGACTGTCGTGAGGCAGCTCGGCGGTTTAAGCACTCTCCCTTCTCCGAGATAGCTGCGGCGGAGAGCTTCAGCTCGCCTGAGGCCCCAGAGGGCAGGCAGTTCTACATCGCTTGTGCCGAGGTCCAGTGTGCGTTCTATCAGTGTGGCGACGCTGGGAATCTATGCCAGTACTTCTGCCTCCCGAAGATCAGCCGGGCCCAGGCTGTCCATGCAGGTATCTCGGTGAAGGACATTGATGACTCGAGCGACGGCGTCTACCCGCTATGCAGGTCTTGCCTATGGGGTGGTCGTGGGCGTTTTAGCACCTGCAGCGTCTTCACCTCGAAGTTGTTCGGAGGTCCAGGGCCCCATCGTCTATGGTCGCGACTGATTCGCGGCCTCTCCCGTCGGTTGCCGAGGGCCCCATCGAGGCCCCGTACTCTGACAATGTCAATGCGTTCGGTCTGGGGCATGGGCCTGTCCTGGAAACGCGGGATCGCATCCTCGCTCAGTTCGAGTCCGAGGGGTTTGCCATGCATGACATTAACATGGTGTCGTCCGAAGGCGTCGTCTTGGGCGCCGATGTCGGAGGTGCTGACCCTTGCGCCCGTCGTGCCCTGAAGAAGTTGTTGGTCTTACGCACGGCGTTGTTCTGGCTTGCTACCGGGGCCTATGTCAGCGGCCGTCAGCGCGAGGTTACCCTCGGGCATTACGTTGCCGCCTGTCTCTTCTGCCGCCCCGGATTCTCCATCGCGCGAGCTGCGCGCGGGTTTGTGAGGTCCTCTTACGACGCGCCCGGAGTGTTGTGGAGGAGCTGTCGCTACGAGTATTGGGTGATGGCAGTCCTCTGCGTCCACCTCCAGTCGCCTCTCTCTCTCTCTCTCTCTCTCTCTCTCTCTCTCTCTCTCTCTCTACCGTGGGCTTGCGAGGTTGTGGCTACCGACGCCGTCGCGTCCGGGATGGGGGTCACTGAGGCCAGGAACCCTCGCGACGTGGTGGCGCAGGCTGGGGGGTGGAGGGGGAGATGGAGGCATCGTCGTGAGGAGCCGTCGGAGCGGGCACCCCGAGCTAGAGCCCTCGACGGTTTGGGCGAGGTCACTTCGCCACACACTGCTTGGGAGAACCCGTCCGAGCGCGGTTGGAAGCACGCTGCTGGGTCCCCTGAAGTTCCCCCCGGAGATCATTCAGGCTCGCATTGGCGTTGTACATGCTGCGTCTTTCAAGTTCTCCGAGCGCATCGGTGTCAAAGAGGGTCGTGCTGGGGTGAGGGCCATGCGTCGAGACGCCAGGGATCCGAGTCGACATTGTTCTAGACGACTGTACTTGTTGGACAATTTTGGAGTCGTGCTCGCGTTGGAGAGGGGGAGAGCCACCTCGCATGCTCTCCTACAGATGCCGGCGCGTCTTTGCCCTGTCCATCGCCAGTTGCATTTTGGCTCGCTTTCGCTGGATTGCATCGGAACATCGGAACACAATCCCGCTGACTCGCCCAGCAGGATCTGGGAACGCCGCGCAGCCCTGGCGCCCCTCGGGCCTTATGCTAGGCCCTCTCAGCGTGGCTGGAAGGATTCCGCCCTGTCAGGAGGACACGCCCGCGCCCGCCCCGACGGTCAAGCCGGCCCGGCGCACCGCGCGGGAAGGGCCGGCGGGGCGCCCCGCGGGGCGGGCGATGCCGAAGCGGCGGCCGGCGGCGGTTCCAGTGCCACTGCGTCGCCCTGCCGCCGCGCCCAGCCGGGGCCGTCTCCGCCCTCGGCTGCTGGCGGCCCTCGCAGCCAAGCGGACCTCCCCGGCAACGGCCACGAGTCCGTTGGCTTGCGAGCAGGCCGCCGTCGGGCCCGCGGCCATGCTCTCCTGCCAGAAGTACTGCGACGCCTTCCTCGAGCTTGTCGGGGGGCCCGCCGAGGACCTCGATGAGCTCGAGGTGCAGGCCCCGGCGATGCTCGACGCGCTCCTGGGCGCGGGCTGCGCGAAGGCCGACGCCGACTACCTGGTTGCGTCCGCGAGGGGCGCGCTGCCGAGAGCAACAGGGCCGAGGGCACTTCCTTGCGTTCAGCAGGCACTCAAGGGGCATGCCAAGAAGCTGCCGCCAAGGTCGAGGGCGCCAGTCCCTCGGGAGGTCGTCGGCTCGGCGATCTCGGGTCTCCTCCTGTTGGCCGAGCGCGACG